AAAAAAAAAAAAAAAAAAAAAAGAGGAAGAAGAAGAAAGAAAGAGAAAGGAAAAAAGAAAAGTTGAACCCTGCCTCTGTTGGTCTTTATGTACTCTGTCTCTGTTAACTCTCCAACTATTTGCCCCACCGCAGGTATTGGTGGTCACCAAATACCGTTTGTTTCAACAGAAGGTGGGAAAGATATAGATCATTTGCTCAGATTCCTGAGGAAACAGGGCACTGTTTTCTCAACAACCTACAAAAAATCCCAATGAAAGAAAGGTGAGTTGCATCAAGTTATCATTTTCTGGAGAATGTGTACTTGTCCCATCACTGAGTAGAAGGCGCACTGTACCCCGACCCCCCCAACTCCAACACAGACTCCAATCTACAAACGTGTAATTAGGTCACCGAATTCAAGCCTCGGGTGCACCAGGATTCACCTGACATCTGAAAATTCCTGGAATTGTGTGTAGTTGTAAAACAGCCTTCTTCTAGTGAAATCTCAGCATTGTGTCTGCTGGACCCATGATGACGTTTTCCTTACAGTTCAAAGTACTTCTTCCTCGAACAGAGGAAGAGACACACTCCAGAATTATAATTATGGCTAATATTAACAAAGCCATGGTCATGCAAAACAACATTTCCCATTCTGTGTTCCTTAGAAGTAATTGCATGTGATGCTTGGTGGAATAAAAGTTGAATAATCTGGGAAAGTACACTATCTTTCCTTCTTAGACACAATGCCCATTAGAAAATTGAAGGTTCTCAGAATTCTTTTTTCTTATGATGTTATGTTAGTCACCATACAGTACATCATTAGTTTTTGATGTAGTGTTCCATGATTCATTGTTTGCGTATAACACCCAGTGCTCCATGCAGTACGTGCCCTCCTTAATACCCATCACCGGGCTCACCCGTCCCCTACTCCCCTCCCATCTGAAACCCTCAGATTGTTTCCCGGAGTCCACAGTCTCTCGTGGTTCGTCTCCCCGTCTGATCTCAGAATTCTGCAGTACAGAAACCTCTTTCCAGACAAGTGGCTTATCATCTTCCAAATGTATTGGACCTTACAATTCCTCTTTTTACTCGGAAAAAAAAAAATCATATATTGCAGAAAAAAAGATCTGAGGAGTTTAACCCTGCTATTGAGGTCCTTGACTGGTTTCCGAAGCTCTCCAGTCTAGTGAGAACACCAATAATTGGATGAAGAGACATGAGGCAAACGAAACATGGGCAAGGAGGCTGGAACACAGTAAGTGCCTAATAAATGCTAGTTGGTTGGTGCAGGAGGAAGAGGGAGAAATTCAACCACAAACGCCTTCTGAAACTTTCCTCCACGGCTTGTAGAATCAGAAGCCTTGACTTTGGACTTGCGGCCTCTACAACCATGAGACAATAGATTCCTATATTTCTAAGCCCCCCGTTTGTGGTCGTTTTCTGTGGCAGCCCTGGGAAGCTTGCCCAGGCATGATGATATGAGCAAGTATCCGAGAACAATCGTCAAGTTCCCTCCTTCAGTGTCTGCCCCTCCAGATGACACACTCCAGAATCCCATAGCAGCTCCTATACGAAGCCCTCCTGTCTTTCTAAAGTAGTCGACGGCCTCTGTGTATAGTCCAGCTTCTTAAACGTGGCATTCCATGCTGAAGAGAATACTCCTGTGTGGTGGAGCCAATACGGTGGGCAGAGGTTTTTACTCTCCAGATGCAAATAGTCATCAGTTGCAAAGCTGGTGTGTCTTGAATCACGATCAAGCAGGTTCATGGAAAGTGCTGTGGTACCAGGGAGCCCTGACCCCATCTTTTCTGTCTTCTCTTCTCCAGCGGATGGCGTCCACTCCTATGATTTTAAATAACCACCATTGCTAAAGACTCCCACATTTCCCTAGCAGTCTGTCCATACCTTTTATCTGAGATCTCTATTTGGAGATCTCAACTTAGATTCCACTTGTGCAAAATGGACCTTTTGAGTCTCCTGCCATTCACTCACACTCCGCTTCCAGCCAACTGTCCCCACACCAGGGGTAACAGTAACCTTCCAGTTTCTCACTCTGAAAACCAAGGAGTCTTCCTTGATACCAGGTGCCGTGGATCTCCCAACAAAACACATGCTGAAGGGACCCAGTTCTCTTGTGTTCCCTGCCCGCACTGCAGTCATGGCCACCACCAACTCTTTCCTGAGCCCCTACAGTGGCCCCTGTATGCTCTCCATTCTCCTGAGAGCACACAGGGGTGCTAAGTGTAAGAGTGAGCAGAAATTATCATTTTCTGCCATCAACCCTTCCAAGGAATCACAGTAAAGTGAACGTTTAACCCCACCTCCTGAAAGTGGCCTTGGTGACCCATAACCTTCTTGTCTGCACACACTTTGGGTCCCTATGGTTTCAATCCCTGCCCTATCCCTATTACACAGCCCTCATGGTCATCTTATAGAGGAATCAGAATATTTCCTTTAAATTATCACTTTAAAGATTCTTGATACATGTTGACAAACTGCTCTCCAGAAATGAAAAATCATCTCCTATTCTGGACAGTAGGGAATCTGTGCATATTATCGTGCCTTCATCAGCTTCATGGGCCTGCCATTACAAAGTACCACAAAGTTCTAGAGTGGCCTGGAAAAACAGGGCTGGTGGTTTCATGGTTCTGGAGGTCAGACACCTGAAATCAAGGTATGGCTAGCAGCACCTTCTCTCTGCCAGCTCTAGGAGAGAATCCTTCCATGCATCTTCCAGCTGCTGGTGTTTGCTGGCCGTCCTTGGCATCCTTGGTGTGTAGCCACTAGGTCCGGTCACATGACTGTCTTTTTCCTGTGTGTTCTCACATCATCTTCCCCCCATGTCTGTCTGTCTCTGTGTCCAAATTTCCCCTTTAAAAATATTGGATTAGAGCCCTCCCTATGGACCTCATTTTAACCTGATAGCCTCTGTGAAGACCCTATTTCCAAATAAGGTCAAATTCTGACACACAGTGGTTTGAAAAAGACACAGTTCCACCAAAAACAATGCCTTGGCCAACATTCTATATTATCACATCTATGAAATAGTGTCAGCCTGCTCATTTCTCATGGTCTGAATTTCTACTTGTATATTCAGGATAGATTAGTCTCCTTGTTCATGCTCCTTCGTCACTGGAACTTCTTTTGTGCATTTCTAGTTTATGTCTTCACCACATTCGGTCCTGAGAGGCCTTCTTCCAAGCATTTTACTCACTTCTCTGCACCCTGCCCACTGGAGGAGAGCTGATGCCCAGTTCACATGAGGAATTACAAAGCGGGGGCATTCCTTCCTGTGGTCACTGGTGGGGCACACACTTTACAAGCATGAGAGTGACTAACGTACTTCTCAGTAGGAAAACTAGGTCTGTTGTCACATGAGATCGGTAATAGCTAAAAGTTAGTTTCTGAACCCCCAGCAAAAATTCTAGAAAAGGATATTTCTCATTTGTTAAGTAAAAACTACCCAACAACGCTTCTTCTGTGTGACTCGTTTCTACCTATAATAGCCTCAATTATCTCAAACTACCCTAGCAGTACCTATTTTTTTAATAATATTTTAT